ATAATTTTGAGATTAAGATTTTTTCGCCCATTGAGCCGCATACGTTCTAATTCAGCGCTACAACCAGATTTTTTCTGAATATAACGGTTGTGACATACTTCTATGATAAATTCAAAAGAAAGTTTAAAATTAACGAGATAGGAGAGCGAAAAAATATTAGAATAAGAGAACTGTGTCAAAAATTAAAAAAAATGATGATGAAAAGCAGTCGCAGCTACCGAAAATAGTCGCAAAGTACTGAGCCAGTAAAAATTCTGGAAATTTTTTTTAATGAATTTTAACTTATCGACCAAAGAAAACTTCGAAAAATTTGAGTAATTCGAGGATAGCTTTTCAAAAAATTAATTACTCTGCCATAAGTATCCAGCGGTTCCACATAATTTGCTGAAAGATTGCCGAAGTGATTACCAATCCTGCCGTATAACCACTGACCAGTGTCCTGCTCCACTGGCAGTGTGCCATCATCGCGACTGATAATCTGAACAGGAACATTCAACGTGTTTTCAGTTACAAATAAATTTTCCTCCTTAGCAGCAAATTCCCTCATATCGAGTGATGTGCAACTTGCTGGCTGACCTGTATAATATCACCCTTGGAGAAGCTCAGCAAATTCGGCTCATTTGTTATGTAGTCGGTTATTGCTCGAACAAATGTGCGAACCTGAAAACGACAATAACTTTTCTCGATCAAACAAAAGAAGCAGATGTAAATTCATAGTCGTTTAATTCAATTTAGTCTGGTCAGAGTGTAGTTAAGCGCACTATTCTGGATGACCTCCAGATACCCTTCTGATAACCAGTTGTCACCAACCTGCGACAAGTCGTTAATCTACGATTCTATGCTGTTTTGGTGAAACGGACCTCATGAAGACATTGCGACGCCTAAAAAACACCACCTAATGAGGCGACCGTACTTTCGAAGCAAAATCAAGTGCATTCCGCGAAAGATGTCACCCAGGTGGTGAGGTCAGACCTAAATTTTTTCGGTATTTTATAATGTCCTTCTGGCAGACGACGGATTTTTGTGTGAATGAGAAAGCCGTGAAATGATAAAGGACATTGATCAAAGAACATCAAAAAAATATGCACGATGGTAATAACACAAAGAAGAAAGATGTTATCAGGTGTTCCTTCTATCAATCAGAAAAGCGCGGAGTAAATCGCTTTTTTGCAAAACAACGATACGAACCATAGAGCAGCAGGACTATGCTTTTTACGGTAACTTTTTTTGTGAGGACAGTACCACAGTTTAACTGCATTTGCGTGCAAATGTAAAGCATAATCAACAGCACAATGCGCACAGGTTACCCATCAAGTGCTAGGTAGATTTGTTTCCTAGAAACTGAAAGTTGACTTGAAATTGAGTTTAACACCTCCGGTTTTATATTTGGTTGCGGGCTGAATCCGCGAAATTCCTTCCCGAATCCCCTATTATTAAAAGTATTTGTGGAAAAATGAGTAATACATAAATTATGTGATTTTCCGAAAGAAGTGCAGTTCCTGAACTCCGACGTGTATGGGGCTATGTTGATGAGGCGGTCCAGAACAGCGGAGAATTTGCCAGCTGTGTTATCAGTAAAAAAAAAACGTGACGATGAAACAAAAGCTGACCAAAGTGAGCATATGCTTATTGACTACTGCAAAAATTTTAACATCAAAATAACATTTTTGAACAATTTTCCCCAGAATTGTCAAAGTGCTTCCGCAGCTGTTCAAAATGACATTCCTGTGACCTGAACAATGAAATAAGTAAACGAACAAAATAGGTACCTTCCCACCGCTACCAGTCATTAATTTTTCGACTAAAGCGCGAATTTGATGAGCGTGCTCTGATCGTAACACCACTTGCGGGCCTTGCCGTGTTTGAAGGCATAATTGCCGTCTTATATCATCCACTTGTAGGTCGATAATGTCCTCAAACCTGCCAAATAGAAAAATAATTAACAAAATAAAAAAATACTCAGGGATGTCGGCTTTATTTGTGGCGCGCTCAACACTGACGCATCCCTAAACGGTTTTTATTTTTTATTTTTTTGCTTTTTTGCGCATTTATGCAATGCAAAAAAAGCATATTGCAACGACCCGCGGTATGTGTGTATGTGTCTTTATGTGTGTATATATGTCTTTGTCTGTGTATGTATTATGCATGTATGTATGTTTGGGCGTTATCTGTGTGTACATCTGCCCGGACGTTTCAGTTCGGCAATCAGAAGTAGAACCTTGGTGCTGAAATTTTGCCTCAGCTTCACCTAAGCATAAGCTTCAGTAAATCCTGTCGAACTTATTTGCCCTCAGCTTCACCTAAGAGTAAATCCTGTCGAAATGGATTACTTGGTCAAGTGCTGTCCCAACTTCCACGCATGTCCGAGTCTTACGTATACAAACGTGGAAGTGTTAGCAGGAAAACTGCTAACTTGGGAACAAAAACAGCTAGGTCATTTTCAGTGAAAGACCGGACACCGAAAATTATTCATTTTCCTTCATCCATGTCTTACGGTAACAAGTGCACAAGTAAGATGTAAAACAACAATAATTCATACTGTCAGTGATTTGAATGATTCAAGTTTAAAGCAAAGACACGTGGTCGCATCAGGTAGTTGCCTTCAGCAAAAGCACCGGGGTACTGTTCTGTTCATTCTAATACACACTGTAGAAACAGCGCACTTAA